ATTTAATTATTATTAAGTATGTTTTTGCGCAATTTTTGTTTAAAAATGCGCCCGACTTTTGTCTAGTGAGTGTATATGCAAGTGATTGAGCCATGTGATTTTATAATACTATGACACCAGAAATATCATTTCGACAAATAAATTTTTATTTGTAATAATAAATTTCTATTTCAAATTAAATTTATTCATGTACTTTCAAGGATACTCGTATTAGTATGTCTAAAGTTACTGTATTTAATGAACTTCTCATCTTATTTTTAATTATATTTTGAAAACCCTCTTTCTCAATCTATAGATGAAAAAGGAATACTTTATACTATTTTAATGAAACAATTGAATTAGGAAATACATCAGAATAAAATGAGAAAGTATTAACTGCATATATTTTTTGCTATAATTATTTAAAATTATATTCTCTCACCATAATTTACTGGGGAAAAAACTTCTTGATTTGTTTTCCATAAAAATTTAATAAAGTATCTAATTTATTATTTCCATAATTTATAAACTCAATAGAATCCTTTATCTGACCATTCAACCGGATTTAGATTTTTCATTGCTTTGGTTAGAGAATATTCAGGAAATCTTTCTTGTATTTGGTTTATAACCATAGAAGCATATGTATTTTACATCAAAATAAATCATCATAATCATTCTCATTATATAATAAAGTTAATGTCCATGAAATCAAAATTGAAGAAATTGTGATTAGTCAAGTCTTGCAAATATGTGCCAAAATTGTCTTCATTATTTTCTATATATTCAGAATCAATAATTTAATTGTTGCTCATGTCACAGGATCAATGTCACTAAATCTAAGGCTTGTTCTTTGAAAATGCTTGCTTAATTGAGTAAGATAAAATATCATTAAAAAAAAAAAAAATGCTAGCATTCTCCATTGACAAAGTTGTATATACAGTCTACACTGTATTATAATGGGTTTTTCTATATCGGATTTTCCTCTATAATGGCTAAAAAATTTTGACCCGATTTTTTTACTATTGTAAATAGTAATAGTAATAGTAATTTTACAAGTCACAGAAAATCAATGAAAAAAAAATCGGAAAAAACTGACCAAGCATTCAAACCAGTCCAATTCATATTGTTATTTAATCATCAATAAAATAATTGCTCGCAGAAACTCAAACAACTGAGAGGTAAGTATTCTAACGTTCTAAAATGTAACAGACCTTTAATTCTTAGATTAAATTTAAACGAAGGAATTTAAATGATTGGGTCGCTTTAGAAATAACGTTAAAATAATTCTACACGGAGGGTTTAAGAATACATTTAATTAGAATAAATTAGAATTTTAAAGAAATCGGAGAACTAGATGATAGAACCTTTAACATGTATAAATAACGTTGTAATTTTCTCAACTTCATGTACCATCATAAAAATCATATAATAGTCATAATAATAATTTAATAAATAGCAAACTGTCCTTATCCTTGGCCTTGACCTTTTCCTTTTCCTTGTTCTTATTCTTGTCCTTGTTGTTGTCTTTGAATATTATATTTTCGTAATGATAATAAAACGATGAATTCATACTAATCCCGCGCATAACAAATTTTCTCTGTGAGGTAATATTTTAATAAATTTTATTTGAGATAGTTTAGAACATAACTAACTTGGTAATACAGGGATTAACAGTTAAGATAACTCCCGCCAAGAAACGAGATTAAGATATAGTGTAAAATCTAAAGAAGACATTGTTTAGTATTGCTTAGCAAGGAATTGTTTAACGATATTGAAGATAGTTTTGAGAGTAAAGCACAATATACGTTCGCGAAATTGTTGTTACGATTTGGTATAAATAAATTAGAAGAAATTGTATTAACATAATTAGCATATAAATAAAATATTGAGATTTACTATGAGACGGGATTATCTCTATCTATATTAATATTAATTAAACAAAGTACCGGGCATTTTGATCACATATTTCGTGCCCTGATTTTAATTATTTTAATTGGTAGCCAATGATTGGATTTTTAAATCTGCTACCTTACTCGGTGAAGTATTGAAAATTCATTGAGAATCCATTAATAAAATACTAAATATGGTTAAAGGATTACAATATGGACCCAATGGATTACCAATGGACCATACATTTGCCAACCCTGCTCGAAGAGTAATAGTAATAGTAATAGTAAAATAAATCAATCCTAAGATTAAATAAATTTTGATTGGCAAATTTATATTTTTGAGGATACCATTTATTTTAACCAATAATAATAAAAATTCCAATTTCTGTATCACAATAAACAAATAAATTGATGTTTGGAAATACGCACATGTCACTTTGTGAAATTTGATTATGTAATTCAAAACATTGACTTAACTTCAAAAGTGGCTAAACATTTTCTTGCATTTTTTGCATAATCATTATGATCAGACAATATTCGTAATCCTTTTTTTATAGTTCCTATGTTCCTTTATTTTATCATATAAAAAATCGTCTTGTGTTTTCCTGTATTGTAAAAAGTTCAATAACGACCAATTCGAATGTTTCTTGAAAAAAGTAAGTACCTCTTCTTCCATTAGTGTTCTTATAAAAAAAAAAAAAATGTTAAAGAAATTTGAAATACTATTATTATGTGAACCACATGTTGAATTTTACAACATTCTCTTTAACGATTAGATTGGGCAATTTCATGTGTTTAAGAACTATAATACGTTCCAGTCACCGAGACAGTAATGTGACGTATGACAACCCCCGAGTAGCTGGCTGACCACGCCTTAGCCAGTGATAGTAGACTACGACTTCCCTGAACTAAGAGCCAGAATACGTTCCTGTCACACGAGACAATAACGTGACGTATTGACACCCCCCCCAAGTAGCTGGCTGACCACGCCTTGGCCAGTGATAGTGGACTACGACTTTCTTTGGGTGCTCTTGGATAGACTATGTTATTGCTATGACGCAAACAGGTGTACACATCCCACTCATCTCAATCTTTAGTTCTTTAGTAATATGGTAGTTTCAAAAAATTTAATTTCATGCTAATGTCTTTTTCCTTTCTGACATAGAATGAGAGAGCTTCTGCAGGCGTGGAGAGATTTTGGAGGATGGTCAATAAAAAACAATGCGAAGACAAAGTCAAACGTGAAGAGGTTAGTGAACCATCATCTATAAAAATTTTCGTATTTTAATAAGAAACTGATTTTATTGTATTAAATAGTTGGATTATGTCAGACGTGCACTGAATGACACAAATGGCAAAATGCACAATATACGTGCTATAATGACTGACAAAACGATAAAAACATTAAAACATGGATTAGAAGGTCAAGTTGAAAAATCTGAAAGTTATAAAAGCAAAGATCAAGAAGAGATACAGATGCGTATTTTTTTAGCTAAAAGTTGAGAATCAGCAGGACCAATTATTTGTATTTAATATTTTAGGATAATAATCATTGACTACATTCAAAGTGTTTTGATTCATTAGTAAGTAATATGTCTATATGTATATACATGCAATGTATGTGTGATTATTTACTTATTAGTTCTTTTTTTTGTCACATTAGTGGTCAATATCTTGATGAACCTTATAAAAAAGACATATTGGAAGGTGATGTTCATGCATGTCATGGTTTAATCATGAAGATCACATCACGCAAAAGCAAACAAAACGAACGAAACTTACAACAGCAGAAGACCATAAAGATGAAGAAGAAGAAGATGCTGAAAATAATGAGGACTTCCAATTTGACATTGATTCAATTATCAAGATTTTATAACAAGAACCAGTATATGAGGTATGAAAGAAGTTAAACTTTTTATTTCTTATTGTTCTGCCAAATTTCTTAATATTGTTTTTGTAAACCAGTGGGAAGTGCATAATGTAAATGTAACGGAAAAATTTCATCAATATCAGCAAGAGGTCCTTAAAACACTTAAGACAACTGGATTGACATGGAATAATACATATGAAGTCTGTAAGTGTTTTAAGATTTAGAAGTTGGAGGACTACAGTTATGCTCAGATGTAAATTTTATCACTATAAGAGCACTCTCATCCATAATTGTACTCGGCCAATACTGTCCTTACACACGACTAATAATCTTGATGATGATGAGTTTGACTTTATGAAACTAAATTTTGATGCATTTAGTCAAAGCTCCGAAATTTGGATCGCATACGATGAATATAATCACTAATAGAAAAATAGTCTTTAAAAGATATAGCTGAAGAGATGGCCCACATTAATTTCACTAGTGAAGAATGACAGATGATAATTCAAACAACCCATATACAATCAATGAGCCAGTAGTACCAGTTCCAGTATCTAATGCTTTACATGAGGCTGTAATAAAGCATTCTTCAGGCCAGGACAGTTACATGCATCCAGATGAAACTCCATTAAGCAGAACATCTTCACAACCCTTCAATGGGTTGTAAGTTGACATGTTTTTTTATTTTGATTAATCCCTTTAATGGAACCTATTTAACAAAATTTATTTAACATATCAAGACGAGCGACTATACCTGATCTTGCACCACAAAGAACGTCAGAGCAAGAACATTGCATTCAATTTCTGTACCCTTATACAAATCTCATCTTTATGAAGAGAAACAAATAATTATAAAGTGCGGTTAGATCACGCCGTTAATGACACAAAAAAAGACCTGATTTTTCTTGCGTTGTGGATGATGGTGTCCCTTTATTGGTCTCTGAAATTAAACCATTTGGGTGTGGTCCTCTAAAAAGGAAAAAAGATATTGTAAGAGTTCATTTGCGAGCAAGAAAAGCAATTAATCAGCAATTGTCTTTGAAAAGTGGTCCAGGAGAGTCGGAGATATTTCTTAACTGTGGTTTTGTTTTTATATGACCATCAACTTCATCCGGAAAATATAAAAAAATTTTACACGTGTCAATTGTAAGTTTAATAATAAAAAAGTGTAAAACTTACGTCGGCACTGTAAGATTTACACAATATTACGTCGGCATCGTAAGATTTATGCAAGTTTACGCTAAATTAATTTCCTGATGTTATTAATTATCAATAAATTTTATGGCATCATAATCTAATAAAAAATATATTCAAGGGAGAGAATCAACATTTTGGTGGGAAAGAAGATATAGAGATCATCAATACCAGTTTACCATCACCATCAATAATAAAGTAAGTTATTTTGTTCAAATTTTTTTTTTAAAAAGGAAAACTTTAATTATTTTATCTTACTACAATATATATGTGTGTATATTGATAATGTTGGACTTTGATTACTAGTGAAGAAAATCATGATGCAAATTTTCTGGAAGAATTTGCTTGTGGTACTATTGTTGCTTATGTGCCAATACTGATTCAATACTAGTGATGTTAGCCGGCTAATAATCTGCATGCATATTTTTTAAATTTGGTAATAGATTTCTGCATTACTTTCTTGTTATAGAAATAAAATTACCAATTTAGGTAGTAAACGGCTTAGCCGGCTAAGGATTTTTAAACGGATAACATCATTACTAGGAATAATAATAATAGAACCATATCAGTAGCAATAAAGCATTCACATGCCCAAAAGAAGGTCAAATCAGGGAGGTCACCAACTTTAATTTACAACTTTCTTTGATTATTGACTGGAGTCTGAAGGAGGCATTCACTCAGGTCCAAGAGATTGGTCAAATGAAGAATTAACAATTTTATTGAAATATACCTTCAGAAAGGTCAACACAAAAAAAGGCTGTGTGACTTGGGGGTGAAGAAAAGTGCCCAGGCCATGAGTTTAAAAAAGTCATCAATCAAGAAAAAGGTCCAGCAATTGTTTCAAGTCCATTGGTAATATTTTTTTCTCCTTTTCTGCTTTCAACATTGCCAAAATCTAATCTAGATTTTATTGCTGTAGTAGATCAAAAAAAACAAAATGTCTGCCTATCTCGTCATCAACTATTATTATGTTCATCTAGTCAGTCAGTGAGACACATGGGTGGATGTATGCTGTATGGAAGGTGGAAAGCATTCCAGACCATAAAACAGAAAAAATCAGGATAATGTTTATTGTGGACAAATTTCTATTTGCTTCCAATTAATGTATAGAAAAGTGTTGCAAGTTTTAATATTAATGGCATACCAGCATCTAGTATCAATTTCTGTTGCAGAATGTATTTGCTCTTAAAGTGCACAAGACTCAGGAATTTAAAAAAAAAATTAAAAAAATGAACAATATTTTTGTAATCCAACAGCAGGAGCAGCAGCAACAACAACAACAACCACCAGGGCCACATATAATTTTAACTATATATAGATAATAATATGTTTGCACCAGGTCAATTTATATGTTTTGTAATCTTACCACCTTTACCAAGTTCTGCTTATAATAATAATCATTATGGTGTTGGTGAACAAATAGAATTTTGATTAATCTTTCTATGTGCTTGTTGGTATTTTTGTAATCTATTTAATATAATATTATTATAAAAACATTTCAGGATTGAGTATTTATTTCCTTATTTCATAATGATAATGTTTAACTTTCATAACTATTTTAAATTTGTAATTAAATATTTGCAAGGGTAGAGGTTGGAAACTGGCCCAATTTAAATAAAACCACAAACCAGGATCCTGGTCCTAAAAAATTGAATAATCCAATTGAAAAACAGTTATTTATATTACATACAAAACTTCTTTTATTTCATGTCGGAGTTTAAATCATCAAGCCTAAGCAGAATTGGCATTCAATTGAAAAATAATAAATTAATTTAAAACTTGAATTAGGTGGATTTAAAATCAAGCAATTCAATTTATACAATTATTGTTTCTATACTTTAGTACATTAGATCATCACTATTTATTTATTATTATTAAGATTTAAATAATGAGTATTTTTTTTCAATATATGGGACATGTCACAGCAAAAACCACCTCTCAGAAAAATAGATTATTTTGAGTAAACACATGTTCAAAATTTGTT